CTTGAAGCATTGTTGTTGTTCTCGTTTTTCTGTTCATCACCCTTGTCGGCTGAATGCTCTCACTCTCAAGTTTTTCTAGTCGTTGGTTACGGCCTTCTTTCGGGTCTTTCTCCACCAGAATGTGGAACGGTACTTGTGTATCTACTGCTGCTGTTCTATGATTCCTTTTTATCTGATTCATATGTCTGGTATATTTTCCGTCCCTTCCACGGACTAAATAAAGTACTTTCCCGATACGCCGTACTATGACACCTGGTTCCCATTTCTGACCGCCTTGATACTTTACAAGTACTTTTTCGCCGCGGTCGTTCGTCTGATACTCTTGTACAGGTTTTCTTCTTTTCTTGGGTGGCGATTTTTTTTCGAATATCCATGGGTTCTCTGCCTGAACTTCTGATTCACCTTCTCCTGCGGCAATGAGTACGTCTTCTCCATGTTTTGCCTGGGGACCAATCAGCCTTGAGAGTGCATCAGATCTTACCGGACTACATATATGATTAATTGGCTGGTTAGCCAACTGCAACATTTCTATTAGGTCAAGACCAAGCAAATCTAGTCCTGGACTTCCTGTGAGATATACTTTCACATTCTTCTGTACATTCCCTTTTTTAACTGGACAGTATATCTCTCCAACAATATTTAACTTTCCTCCAGATGCACTGTGTGCTAACTGAGTTGTAGGGAGCACCGAGGGTTTGCCAATATGACTCCATGTTTTGCGGCTGATAAGTGAAATATCTGAAGCAGTGTCAAGCTGTAGACGAGCACGGCGCCCATTAATGTCTAAGGTCACATATTTTCTTCGATTATGTTCTGTTCTGGTATGTGCTACCATTATTCTATTGATTGATGAACAGTTTTTACGTCTTCGGAAATGTACACTTGATGAACGACGGTGCATCTTCTTCTTACAACATGTTTCTTTATGTCCTTTGAGCTGACATCTAGTGCACCGGTAGTTTTTGTATGGGCAGAACCTTTTGTAATGCAGCTCTCCGCAAAACCAACATGCGGATGGAGGCTTCTTAATGGTTGCGTTCTGTTTTTGCATATAGGAATCTTTCTTCCCACTTACTGCCTGTACATAAAGTAGTCGACCATTATTCTCTACCATTGAAGTGTCATGCTTCAAGTTCACCAGACGCTGACATTCAGTAGTCACCTCTTGAAGGGTGATATTTGGACACTGTTCAATTTTACTTAGAATTCTGGTTCTGATGTCGGCATCTTCTGAAGACTGTAAGCTGCATACGAAAACAAGACATTTGAATTGGTCTTCTGTCATTGCTGATAGTTTAAAGCGCTCACATTCACGATTTACTATGCCAGCATGTTGCACCCAGTCATCGTTGCCAGCTTTTACTATCTTCAGGCACTGATATCGAATATTGAACAAGGAAGACTGTTCACCGAAAATTTGCGACAAAATTTTAACTGTTTCTTCGAATGAAATGTCTCTTGGGTTCTTGGGCAGAATGTAATTAGTGTATCGTTCATGTTCAATGGTCCCCAGCTTTCGTAGTAGCACTCTGACCTTGGCGGCATCATCAAACGCTTCTAGGTCAACATTAAATACATCTTCATATTTCTTGTACCAAGATTCGAATGTTACACCAGCCAAACCATCAAAATGAAATTCGTGAATGGAATCAATGATACAATCAGCATGCGATTTAGCAGAAGCATCTGTAAGTCCATTCTTATTGAGGTTCATTTGCTGCGTTAGTGTTTCAAGTATGCGAATCTGGAATTGTTCAAAGCGTTTTTCATGGCGCTCTAGAAAAGCTTGAAATTGGTCAAAGGTAATAGACATCTTGATAAATTAACCCGTCGCCAGTTGTTATATCTAGAGCCTTGATTCTTAATATGCCGCGAACTACTTGACTACTTGAACGATAGAACCCGCAACGTCGCAAAAAGAGAAGACAAAGACTAGTAAGCAGGAAGCTTATTGCCCCGAACAATGTCAAAATATAGCACAGAAATCTCGTGTATTTATAGTTATTGGCTGAAAATAAACTATCATTTAGGTCAACCAATAAGCACATAGGTATCAAACTAATCCATCCAATGGAGAAGCTCCACGTTGGCATTTCTAGAACATTCCCCTAGCCGTGATTGGATGGAATGTCTGCGGCTCTTCCTGGGCTTCTTAGAGCTTCCCAGAGTCTACCGACGGGCCGTCCTTACAATAACCATAACTAGTTTAAGTTAGAAGTGCTCGAAATCGTCTAGTCACGTTACAAATCCGTTGGGGTGATCCAGAAAACTTCTCGCAAAAGACAAGAAAGGCTCAGGAAACACTGAGAAAGTCTTTATCCAATCAGTATTCGCTAGAAGTTTTGCCAGAAACGTCGCGAAAGTGATTGGCAGATTACTATACTGCTACTATGTTTAGTAGCATTCTAGAATTTTCAGGAAAACCCAAGGACTTCTAAAATACTATGAAAACCCTATATTTTCTGTACATAAATGAACCTTTGGAGTAAAATGGTTCCCGCATATTTTGTGCCTTTTCTCTCGTGTTCAAGTCGCTGTGTAGTTTTATCTTGGGGTTTACGAGACTAGCTTAGGAACCGAGTACAGAGTTCAATTAGCAAGACTTATCAAAATCTGAAAAGATGATCTTTTCTGGGAAATATGATGAAGGGAGTCTACCGAACAGTACAAAGTAACTTCGTTATCAGATCAAGTCAGTGAATATGTATTTAGTTGGGTAACAGTTCGTTCTTCGACTCAAATTTCTTTATTTCATACATGAAAAATGTCGATGTTAAAAGATTTCGTCAAAATTGATTATTGATGTGATTCGGCAAGTGGCGAACATACTTTCGCTTTTGCAGCAAGATTTCATCAAAGACCAGTCTATCACGGTTAATATGACATCTAAAGCTCAACTATTTAACTTCATACTCTTAAATTTGGTGCCAGTGTATAACTAACCTAGATCATAGAGACATAAATTGAATGCTAATGTCATTTTTTGGTATCATTCAGGATTTATTTCGGGGTTATTTTATCTTGTACATATTTCGCAGTTGGATGTAATGTTTGAATATGTAACATTCATTAGTCCATAACTAAAATTTTTCCCCGCTTCGTTACAAGAAAATTCCAGAATATTGATACTTTCTAAAAAAAAAAACTAAGGGTGCTTTTGTCAGTCATCGTATCAGGAACAATTAATTTCAACCTTGTTCAACAGTTATTATTTTTTGAAATTGAGATTTCATAGTCGAGATCTTTTATTATTATTATTATTCACACTGATATACCACTTGATTTTATCATTATGTTAAAGGTGGTAAAATCATCAAAATCTGCAATAGATATCGGTAATGAGTATGATTCATGAATGTTTAATTATCAATTTCCATGGTTTATAATCAAAACCCAGTAATCTTACCAAATCAATAAACTTCTATGAAAATTAGTTATTTATGAATATTCTAATCGTCACTGCACATCTGCTCAAAATACAAAAGTCTTATTAATCTTCGATCTAACAAGTGATACTTTTGTGGATTAGTTAATGGTTCAAATTTTCTGAACGGAAAATTTCGGCATTGATGCAGGTGCTGTTTATTATCCATGCTTAGTTTGTGTTGACTGATGTAATGGGTGGATGAGATATGTTTTATCAAACATTGACGATGAGCCCAATATAAACACATTGATTCTCACAATAAATATTTCTGAAATGATATTATAATTTCTTTTTAACTAATTTATAATTCATGAATAAGGGATAGTATTGATTTTGCACTAACTTTGGAAGTGAATGTTCGGTAACATGGCTATTTATTTGTAGTTGAACTACTGAACATATCCGTTAAAAATTCTAAACTTAATATTTTTATTTATTCTGCATTTGGAAGTTGTATTTCTGAAAATATTTCATTTGAATTCTTTAAAAAATTGAATTTCGAAAAAAATAATAACGTCAAAAGTTTTTTGTTGTTTTATCGTCGCCAAAATGTCGTACTTTCAGCTTTGTGCCATTCCTGTTTGTCCATTATTCAGGCTAAGTGAAAATTGTACCCGTTTTGGTTAAGACATGTAAAATTATATTATAACGAATGTTACAGATCTAATCACTAAGGTTATCGATGGGAGCTGAGTCAATCAGGGGCGGGCGAGATGTGCAGTGTGATGATTGGATAATGAAACATATTTTATCAACCTGGATCTGATTTTCAGTAAGCTTCTTAGTTGTGTTTTTTTTGGGTGGTATTCATCACATCTAGACAAAACAACATTGTTTTGTTTGGTATTTGAATGGGTTTTATGATGCTATCATATCAATTACTTGAAGAAAAACACTAATTAGGATTTATTAGTAAGGGGGTATGAATTATTTAGTGGATTGCCCTTTTTTTCAGACAAAGGCTTTCAGCATGGCAATAAATTCTCCCAAACATTTCCTTCTTACTTCAAAATAGAGTTTTGATTTTGTGTCATAAAAACTGGGCAGTTCGACTACTGATTTACATTCTGACTCAATCCATCTCACTTTTTACATTAGAAGCAAGATTATGTAGCTTGGTGTACCTAGATAATTGCGAGTTGGGTTTTGTTATTGTTAACCATATGTATCCGTCGTATTGAGACTTCATCTGAGTAGAAAAATTGATTTGAGAGTTCAGTAAACTGACAATTTTTTCATTCTAAAAGTATTATAATGTAACCACTGATGCGTAAAGTTGTAACTTACCGCTAAGTTTTTGTAGTTTATGGTAACTCATTTAATTGGAACCATTAGTAGAGAATTTTATATTCGCTTGATTGAATATTTTTTTAAAAAGGTATTATTTTTGATACACACAATAAAATACCTCTGTATAAACAATTTTTGTTTACTTACCACATAGTTTCTGTTTTGTAATTAGTTTTCAGTTGCTTGGTACTAATAATAATCCCATATTTTTTGTTTATTATGTTTTATATCCCAATCATTCCTCTTTGCTTTTAAAAATAACAATGCTTTGGAAAAACGTTAGATATTCAATTTGAGTCACCCGATATGGATTCAGCCTTTGATTTAGCATGGGACCATGAAGTGGGTAAGTTGTATACAAATATATATTTGTTCACACTGTTGGAAGTTTTCAGGGAGTATATTTTTGAAGTAATGACAAAGGTCACTGGTTTTCCAGAGGCTTGCGAGCGTCATGAGTCAGTCAATAAGTAACATTGAGTTTTTACTGTTGATAACTATCCAAACAAATTTTCTTGTTATAGACACAGTTTACTGACTAATGAAGTGGATCTGTCTATATCAGCTAAGCGAAAAAGTCAAAGTGTATAATATTCATAACTGCCTTACTATTCTCATTTCATTATCCAAGCAATATACTTAGGAATGTGCATCAATTTTTCTCTTGTGTTTTTTATCACTAGATTTGTTAAAACGGTGTGATTAGTACGAAAATATTCCAAATGAAATCTGTATTAAGTGATAACTTGCGTATTTAGTAACAAATGATTGATCAGCTTTTTTTTCCAGTCTTCTTAATTAATAAAACGCTGTTTTATGACTGAGTTATTCTAGTTACCTATAAATGATAGGACGTATATAAAGTTATGTATGCTAACAGATAAACAGCAGGCAAAAAACGTTGAGCTTTTGTTAGAGGCGTAATAGTCGCATCCTTATTTTTCTTAAAACTACCTAAGCATCTCAACCAGTTAGATTGTAAATGGACCAATTCGAGTGTTTCGTTTTTCATTCAAATATTATTGAACAAGGGGGGATTGGTTTATCATTTTATGTTGTTGCACTAAAAACATTATTCATGGTTGGGCAGACTTACTAACATTAACAATTTTCAGCTAGCGTTAATAATGTTTCACCTCTAATTTATGAAATGATTTACATTCATCTCTAGTAAGTTTATAATTTAAAAAAATAATTTTGTAATATGGAATTAATTCTGTGTTGTTCGAATGCGTCTTAGATGAACTCAAAAAGTTGAATTTATTTAGATTCAAGTCTTCTTTTTAAACAACCGATTTTTAATAGTTCAATTTAAGTTAGTTGATACCACAAATATGCTAAACATTACGTTCACTCATAATTTAGTCGACTGTTTTAGCCGTATTCACCGTTTGGAAACAGTTTAACTTGGAACATTGATGGTAATTTTTATATTGTGTTATATGTATATGTATGGTATCCCATCTACACACTTTGCTTTGAAAATTTCAGACTTAAATATTTCCAATACTGAAGTGAGAAGATCATATGGTAAACATGTTCTACAATCTGTTATTTCACATGAGTTCGATAGCGAAGGACACTGTAATCAATTTATAGCTCGTAACCGGTTTTTCGACTCAAAACAAAAATCAACAATACCAACCGTATATAATCCCCATCCTAGTCAAACTTCATCAGTTGCCATTCTCCCCGTACGAAATGATAATTTTCATCCCATTACAGACAACCGATGGGTTTCAAGTGATAGATTGCCTGGGAATGCACGTAGTGGTGTAAAAAAACATATACCATCGCAAACTGCTATACCATGCTCCAACTTAATCTTATCACCTACATCTAATAGTAGTAATGTTGATACAGAATACAATGCTGGTAAAGTCACTCCTAGACTTGCATTTCCAGACAATTTATTTGACTCTGGATTTGTTGGTGGCGGTGGCAGTAACATGATTAGCAGCTTCTCAGATTTCGATGATGTTGATGAAAATGTTATCGGTATGAATGAAGGGAAACCAGTAGACAATTTGATCACTGATCTATCTACTGATCATTCAAGTGATTTTCTTTGGGAACATGAGTTATTCATTCCACAAACATGTTATAAAGCAAAAGGTGTTCACTGTCCAACTACTGTATAATACTACAACTACTATTACTATCAAGTTCTACTTGTAACAACTATGATATTTGCAATTATGTTTATTTTTAAAATAAAATAAAAACAAAGCAACGAAACTTCACATGAATAATGTAGAAGAGGATTTATTGGATTAAATTGATTATTTATCATAACCTTAAGGTTCATTCAGAATATTTATTCTTCTTTTCGCTTTGTTTTGTTATCAATTTATTGTTTTTGTCATTATATCAAATAATGAAGGTGTGAAAAATTAATTTCTACTCTGTATTGATTGATAAATTTTTCGCTTTTTAATTTCTTCCTTTATTTTTCAAAAAAATGTTTTATCAAACCGGTTATTTTGTTTTCTTTTAATTTGCAACCCTAGCCAATAAATATAATCAGTTGTTCTATCGCTTCTCTCTCTTTCCAATTCTTTTTGTTATTGTCGCATCTCTTTTATCTCCTACATAAATCCTATTTACTTACCTTAATCAAAACTACTTGCATTTGATTGACTTGCTTGTGTTTTTGTTTACTTGAATGCCTTTTTCGTGTTCACTGATTGATCTTAAAACCGACTTTTATCATAATTTATACTCATTAAAATTACCTTGCTGATCTATTTGTTCTGTCCACTGATCCTTCATTTTCGTGGTTGAAGGATTTTTAATCTGTTCCCTCGCTGTCAATCTTCATGTTTCTACAGTGAGCGTTGTGCATTTCTTCTTCAGCATTAAATTCAATGAAATTGGGATAATTAATGGCCTTTATATTTTGGTTCATTCTATTTTATTGCATTTTGATTTAGTCAGTTGATATTAACAGATATAAATCACACATTTAATTATATTTGTCCTTGTCTCTATTCATGAATGTATTTGTTATAAGGCATTTTCAACGTATAATTCCTTCAGTAGGTGATAAACAATCGTCGGACTCAATCTAACTTAGCTTGTCCGATTACTTCAACGCAGTTGTGATGACAGTTATTTCTAACTTTAATAGTTTTAGTTATAATCGTCTTTGCAACGTTGTACTGTTATATAAATTGTTTATAATCTTGTAAAATATGAAATAGCAACAGATTTCTTAGAAATGTCTCCGAATAAATTGTTTTCTTTCATGTTTGTTCACTGTAGTTTCTAATTGATGGAAAGTTCCCATTATATTAAAACACAACTATATCAACGAAGAATATTTTTTTGAATTATTTCTCATCAGGTTCTACAACTGTATATCAAAATTATTAATCCACAAAAAATTGGCTTTGGATAATGTTGATAATTTTCTCAGGAACTCCATAGTGTCGAGGAAGTTTCCGTAATGTTCTTCGGTCAACACTGTCAAACGCTTTCTCGTAGTCAAAGAGGTTGATAAATAGTGACGAGTTCCATTCAATTGATTGTTCAACGATGATCCATAGTGTCGCGATTTGGTCTGTACACAATCAATCCTTACGGAATCCTGTCTGTTAATCTCGAAGCTGGTTGTCTACTTTCATCTGGTCTAGCAACAATCTGTTAAAAACTTTTCTTGGTACTGACAACAAACTGACGCCTCTGTAATTCTTACATTTGCTCAGATCTCCTTTCTTTGGTATCTTGATGAGGTATCCTTCTTTCCAGTCCGTTGACACTTGTTCCTCTACCCAAATCTTCCTGAGTAGAAGGTGAAACATGTTTGCAGTTATTTCAGTGTCTGACTTCCGTGCTTCAGCTGGTATATTGTCAGGTCCTACCGCCTTCCCACTTTTGACTTGTCTGGTGGCCATCTTGACTTCTTCGATCGTTGGTGGAGTGACATCTATAGGAAGGTTAGTGTATGCTGCTTCGATGTCTGGTGGATTTAATAGGCCTGGTCTATTCAGCAGTTCCTCGAAGTATTCTTCCCATCTTTTCCACTGTTCTTGAATCTCCGTGATTGTCTTTCCTTCTTGGTCCTTGACCGGTCTCTCTGGTTTATTATATCTCCGTGCTAATTTCTTCGTTGTATCATGTTCCCTTTTCTTGCAGCTATTTCCGCCGTCGTTGCCAGTTCTCCCATATATTTCCGCTTGTCGGCTTTGATGCTCATCTTCACTTACCTGTTTGCTTCTGCGTACTCTGCTTGCGCCTTGGCTTTCTCTGCTCGTGTTCGACTGTTGTTAATTGTTATCTTTTTGTTCTTCCCTTCTTCATTCTTGTTCAGGGTCCCCATTGGGATCCATACCTTATTGTGATACTTCTTGCGACCCAGAACCTCCTGACACGTTGAAGTTAGTGTTTCTATGCTCCCTTTCCAGTTGTCTTCCATCGTAGTTTCCTCTTTCAGTAGATCCTGTAGAGCTTGGAACCTGTTGTTGAGAGTTATCTTGAATTTGTTGAGTTAGTTAGTATCTCAAAGGAAGGTTGTATTAAACCTTTGTAATGCTGTTCTCCCGGTTGTGCAGTATTTGTTTAGCTTCAGTTTCATCTTGGCCACAACCAGCTAGTGGTGATCTGAAGCTATGTCAGGTCCTCTCCTTGTTCTCACATCTTTCATTGTCCTTCGGAATTCTATGTTGATACGAATATGATCTATCTGGTTCTCTGTGGTGTGATCCGGCGAGATCCATGTAACTGGTTTTGTGTATGCGTTTGCATGGAAATATTGTGCCATCTATAACCAATTTGTTGAATGCACATAGATTTACAAACATCTCCACATTTTCATTTCTCTCTCCCAGTCTGTGTCGTCCAATTATATCTCCATATCCTGTGTTGTCCATTCCGACTTTAGCATTTAGATCTCCCATCAGGATGGTGAGGTCCTTTCTTCAGCACTTATCTATGATTGATTGAAGCCTCGAGTAGAACTGGTCTTTATCTTCGTCATTGCTATGTTTGGTGAGTGCATAACATTGGATAACAATCATTATGTTTTCCCCTTCTTTGTTGTGAATGATGCTTTGATAATTCTGGATCCATTCGATTCCCATCCTACAAGTACATTTCGTGCCTCTCTGGACAGCATCAGACCAACTCCCTGAGTGTGTGATGCATTTTCCTCTTCGTGACAGGAGTACAGCAGCATTTCTCATAAATCTATCCTTTTCAGTCCAACTTATGTTCAATGGGTTTACTGTTTCCGAGCATCACCAAGTTGTGTCTCCTCATTTCCTTTGCTATCTGATTGGTCCTCCTGGTCTCCCAAATTGTTCGAACATTCCATGTACCTATATTAATTGTTGCTCGGGTTCTTATAAGGGGCATCGGTCTCATGACTTCCGAAGAATGTCGGCTTACATCATGAGACGTCATAATTCTACTGAAAGAAGATCCATCGACTCGGAGGGCAGAGTTTAAATGGTTCAATCTGTCTAATATGGTTGACGTTTTTTTAGCAAGATTTTGTTCTACAGTATGAGGCCCATCTCTCTCACTTCCTATGCGATACTAGGAAAGCGGTAGCTGATTATTGGGATTGTTTTAGGCAACTAGACAACAAAAGTAAATCTAGATACAGTAATATTAGGGTCTTAAATTGAAAATACAGTATGATTGAGTTGTTTTTCTTCGTGTTACAGCTCTTATAGTCCCTGTACTTCATGTTGGGGCGCTGTCATAAGGATAGATTAAAAAATGACAAATCTTGCTTGTTAATTACAAGTCTGTAGTATGACAATTTAATGTTAGTGTATTTGGTTATCATGTTTTAACACTTACAAAATAATGGTCTAACCTTACCTCTATCACATGAAAGGTCCACACCGTATGACATCTGTCCTATGCACAATTGCGACTAATTAAACTGTAAACAAATCCATACAGCCGTCATGTGGTTGACGACTATGCTCAATTTTTATTACATGGCTGTTGTATTTATTAACGGGCTAGTTGTTATTATCTGTGCATATGACATTCCATGAAATTCGGTTAAATTTATGGCGATAATACTCGTGTTTGTTTCTCTTGTGATAGAATATGGTTCTATGCTGAGATAGTCGTAGATGTAATCCAGACATCTTATCATATCTTACCGACATCTTAATCATTTCACTGTTTCGGTTTCATTTTAAACTTTAAAACGTCTTATAAGCGATTATGGATGATGTCTGGCAGTGGGATCCAGAACGCGCGTTTCGTTTTATTTGAAACTTGTAAGCTGGATGTACTTGGATCCCACAGTTGATGTTCACTCCGGAACTTAGACCCAGTACCGTCTGCTTCGAACCCTATCGCGTTGTCTACTTAGCTACTGAGTCCAGATAACCACTGACTTGTACAATGGGGTGAAGTTTAATCCATTTGTTTGTTTTAATCTTCCAATTGATGTTTAGGACCTCAATCGATCAGTCTGTCTTTGGCATATATGCATCCTGTGCGGATTGCCTCAGTGTTTCCCTAGAGTTAACATAAAGCCTGGGATGCAGATACATCCAGCACGAAACGCGCGTCCTGAAATCCACTACTAGCCACCATCCATCTCTGCTGATAATGCTTGTAACTTGAGTCAATATAGAGGGAAGACGCACATATACCAAAAGAGACTGATCAATTGCAGTCTTAAACATCAATGGAAAGATTCAAACAACCAACAAAAATGAGTTTAAAATGTTTTGTTCAAAATAGCTCTCAATTAGTAGTTTGACCTGGATTGTCTTTACTTACTATTTTGATAAACACTGTATTACATTTCATTCAGACTAACCCAGTTAGCCTTTTAAATTAAGATGAGTAATCTTGAATTTTCAGGTTTTGATTACTGACATAAAATTCAACATTCTGTAAAATTATTTCAAAATGAACGGTAAAGCGTTTTCCAATAAGCGATTGAGTGAATTGATCGGTTCATAGTAAAGTGAACTATCGTAGAAAATTGGTTACTAGGTAAATATGGGTATAAAATTAGAAAATCTTCGAATGAAAACACTGTTTAGACATTACAATAGAAGGTTCGTCATCACCAAGGTTAGCGCAACTTGTCATCAGGAAAGTGAAAATAGAAACGGGATTAAAATTCCACTTGACAGTTATTTTTTTATACTTTTAATCTGATTTGTCTTGTCTTTCAGAATTTCTTGGTTGTTTTGGAAAAAGATACTTCAATAAATATTTACCAAATAAAAGTATGTGAATCAGAAAGTAATGTGATCCAGAAAATTTCCTTCACATTGAGATGGATTTAGCGCACCGCCAGGAAAAACCTAGTGCCTCAATTTCCAATTCTAGTTACACTGAGATATTCCTCTCACAGCAAAACCATTTCACCAAACTTTGTACATAGTATGATTCGCAAATAGTAAACGAACTTATTCTAAACTCTTCACAATGTTTAGGTAAAGGATAATAAATTTGAGACGATTATATAAATGCATCAGTGCCAGACTCAGAAGAAATCCATTGGTTTTTGTAACCTTTAGGTTTAAACTACTAAAAGATGTTACTGCTGCTTCCACAGTTGTCCGTGTATCTTTTCAAGCAACATCTGGGTCAGCCTCGTTTACAGAACTGCCTAGATGTATACTCAGTTGTTCCTGGAACTCAATTTAGTCCATCGTTTTAAACTTATTTATAATGTTAAACATTTTCCTCACGTGCAGATCATTCACCTATGTAGCAAGAACATATTTAAGAATATAAAATCAAATTAGTAGATTTTTTCTGAGTTTCCTATTTCTACATGTCAATAATACCTTTTTTGTAATTCATTCACCAGGCACTTGGATATTGGTCACACACACAATGTGAGGACTAATCATACTATCCGATTATCCAAACCAAAGTTGAATAGGGTTCGAACGCGGGAATTATTGGCCGAAAGTTGAACATCTTAATCATTGAGCCAGTGCTCTACTTTCATGTCAAGTGTGAGACTGACACTTAAAGACTATTATACAAAGACCAAGTATGGATATATACCACACATATTAGTGAGAAATTTTATAAAACTCAACTGTTATAAAACAAAAGTATGAGCAAGTGAGTTCCATGTAATCAAAAGGAGAAAAAAATCCCGTAAATAAGTTTCTCTTTCCCATTTCTGTATCCAGTTCACATTCTCTTAATTTTGTTCCAATCAAAACACTTGTATGTAAATAGTACAGAAATAAGCAGAGTATTAAACAATCTAGTCGATATTGAGGTCATGGTCAAGCTTCCATCAAACAACAATACCCATAATAGTGATAATAATAGAAACAGTGACACTGATAATGATGAGCACAGGTTGAAGTGATTAGGCTATCGATCTGATGTTAGGAAAGTGATTAAATTATATTGAAATATCATCACGGGTTTTATTGCTTTTTAACTGTTCCACATCAAAACGATAACATAAGTGTTCTCATCTGTTTGTAAATTCATCATACATGAAGATGGATAGTGGTTGTTTTGGTGTAAACTAGAAAAACAAATACTAACCATAGAATTTTCTCTTGTCAATTAATGATATGATGAAGAGGAGCTTGGTTATGAACTGTGTGCAGAATTTTGATCAAATATATGATTAAACACCAAATTATAAACCCAGTAATCAGAATTAAGTTAAGGAAGAAAAATTTGATCATTTAAATGGGAACTGTTGAATTAATCTAAGGAAAAAGAGTGAACAGCTTACCAAGAACTTTAAACGCACTAGTAGTTATAACGCGTATAGTGTCAAAGTGAATGATCATGTTAGTTTTCGTAAACACACGAAATCAAACAAAAGTAGAGGATTTTATTACTTATAAAAAGTATAAAACGAAAGTTATGGAACAGTTATATCATGATATGAGAAAGCGAATACACGTTCGTTCACCGAACTAAAAAACCGTATTCCAATACTTAGAACAAATAAAAATATCATTAACTTCATAAACTTTATATTAAAGAATGACAGCATTAGTGTGGCAAAGGATTGATTTTCAGTACAAACTAAGAATGCTTTAATGGTAGAAATTATCAAGAGGTTCGGATTGTTTTTAAATGGGATTAACTTTCACCAACTTAGTAACACGAAGCAAATTAAGCAATAAGTAAGTAGGCTCAATTTACTACTCAGGATGACAGAGTACATCAAAGTGGATTTTCGTGTAGTAAAAATTATACACATCTAAATCATATAAGTTGACGCATAGCCTTATGTAAATAAATCTATTTGTTTCACAAAATGGAAGCTTACAATCCTCTGCTGTGTTGTATCGTTAATAACTGTTAAGGAGTATCATGAGAGGACAAAGAAAATTGTTAAGTTTTGTGACCATTTCTGTACCTCCCTCAAGAACATATAGGAAAACCACAAGCTAAACAAGTCTATTATCAAAGTAATAATTTGTGCAAGCAAAAGAAACTGAAACGAGAACTAAAATAATACGAAATCACGTGACACCAGAGATCGTGTTAAATTCTTTCTTTTTTTAAAGTAAGAGCATGTAATCCATTATTTAATGCCGAAAAGTAATGACATTTTAAAATATATGTTAATTGGAGCTTACATCTAAAGTCTGGAATGTGAAATTAATTAGAGATAAAAACGAGAGTGAAACCTTTGGCAAACAACAAAAGCTAAAGGACAATACGTTAAAAAACAATCAATGAGAGTAAAAGACTTTTCGTTTACTTTGTCATCGTTCACATATACTATGACTAGGAAAAGAACAAATCACTCGATTATAGAAAAAGTATTAGTATTACATCAGATACCATTGTTTGACTGCAAAGGATGCATGGATATCCACGCGAAATACTTTAAAACGGATATAATGTAACGATTAGAAATAATATAATTATATGCATATATTATACAATAATGTGAAGTCCAGTGCATATTTGTTCTAGTAACACAGTTGTTTGCGGTGTTTATAGGAAAGCCTGTCTTTGCATAAATATACTTAAACACAAACACCTGTAATTCAAAATCTTTTGTGGTAGGAAACAGGTTCTCACAGCTCTGAAAATTAATTACACAATTTAACTGATTCACAGTTGGAGTGATTACCTCTAGTGAGATATAACAAAAAAAGAACCACAGCATAGAAATACACAGTCACTAGGAAATCAACGAAACTAAGTTTGAAATCGCTAAAGTCAGTGTATCCAAAATAAAATGGCTTAGTACCCCAAATGTCCTGGTACGGTCGAGGGACGAGAGAGTCAGCTCTCCCTCTCGAAATGCCCTCATATAGCGACGTGTATACAGCCACTGTCAGGGAAGTCCTACTCACTGCCTTCACGTTGTGGTGTTGTTTACGAGGTTGGGAGGACGAAAAGTGAATGTTCGGCGCTTTTACCAGGTTGGTGAACACGAGGGGTCTACCTAGGAGAGTTGGAAAACCCTGATTCCAAACCAATGGTGCAAATAGGCTCCAGTATCCTGAAGGAACAAATGGCGTACGAAGCAATTGTTGGTCACCGGCTAACGTAGGACTGGATCTCATGACGTTGCTACACTACCTCGTGGATTAGACCTTTAGGTTGACGACTCCCAGTGGGCCCCTAAGAAAACCACCTGCTTTGATTTGGGCACCTCGGCAGTATCATAGCCCACACACAAATCAAGTGACATGTGTGGCGCATATTTATTCGGTACCCCTTCGTATCAATATTTGTGTTCAAGTAAATAAATAATAAAAGATGGGAATAGTGATGAAAGTGTGTGAAATAGGATATACGGGAAAGGTATTAGCGGATAACTTTTGGATAGTAATGATATATCAAGAGATGTTTATTCAAGTATGATTTTAGCTTTCGAAACATACATACTAACGGTTAGTACTATTGGATCTACACTCAAATAGCTACTGAAATGTATGAACTCAGAAAATTTTCAGAAGTAGGAAGAAAGTTACCCAAATAAGTTTCATGAAGGTCTTGTGTGAACGATGAAAATTAAACATAAACGTTTTTAGCATTTTTATTTAATATTTTATGGTGTGTAAGTCCCTCATGGTGAATGTACATAAATAAACAGTTGTCTATATGTGACATATAACGTCATAGTCACTATGATATTAAATACAAATAAGCAGTGAATCTTGCTGAATGATTACAAGCTAAGATAGTAGTACGCGGGTACCGTTGAAAACTATCGATTACAATGAGCTGATTTACTGCCCTTGTCACAATATATCAAGGTCTTAAGACTAAAGAAGAGCGAAATACAAAAATAAACGATTTAAATTCTGCTAAACATCTGGTTTCATAACGTACACAAATCCATGGGTGCTTGAGGGCTTCTGCAGCTGTGATTCGCCTCGCAGGACTGACAGTTAGCATTAGGTTGATTAAATTCTTAGCTTCAGGGGTAACTGTATCCCATTCTGGTGAAGGATACTGAAATAATACAAATAGATTGAAGAACGAAAATAATTTGATAAACAAAATATTTTCATGAAATAAAACTTAAAAAGCTGAAAAATCACATCTATTTACAGAATGTGATACTGCGATTGTCAGGGAAACTACTAGTGCTTAATATAAATCTATATTTTACAGTTAAGATAGCTTTTTGTAGAAGTAAAGAAGAGGTAAACAATATAGAGTCAGGTAATGTAGTGTATTTCGAATATATACCATGGGAAATTACTCAGGCTATTTTTTACAATAAAAAGTAACACTAACTAAAAGTGGTGAAAAACCGATATATATATATATATATATATATATATATATATATATATGATTAAGAACATTTCGAATGATCCCTACAAATAATGCGAAATTAGACATAAACCGATTCTCAGTATATTTAGATTGTGATCAGCAGTGCAATCTAGGATGTGCACTTCGTTTAAAAAGATGAAAGGTTTTCGTTAAAATAAATACCTAGCATCCAATATTTTTACCACCTTAAAGAATAATTTTGCTTTCATCCATAAAGACAGCGAAAGAATGCCCTAGAAGGCATTTTGTCGTGATGTCAGTCGGGTGACACGAATACATCAATTTATCATATTCTTCTAGATCTTGGGGTATTAATACTATTCTACACTTCATATTGCCGGATTTCATTTGCTTTTTTCAATATGTCCTTTATGTTTGGACTTTCATTATCACCATTACTATCATTATTTGGTATTTTTGTTATTTTCAGTTAGAAAACTTTTTTAGCTGTGATGTGAAGTGTAAGAACTTAGACAGACATACATTTGTGTCAGGTTTTATTTCGAGGCAATATTCATATCATTTAATGATTAGTAAGAGAAAATTGTTATAATAAAATGAGTTATTCACATGTCTCTTGATAATACGCATATAATCTATTATTTTACCAAGAAATAACAATTGGCTTTTACCAACACTTCAAACATAATTTTAGCCAGATGTAGCCACCTTTCTCACTTTTTAGGATAAAATGATGATTCACCCTATATTTTTTATCGACCATTTGTCAAGAAATAAGCATCATAACTCATTCAAACTCAAAAACTAATTCTAATGAAGATTTAAATAGTAAATCAAGGTACAATATAAACTGAATTACATGTAATATTTACTTAATAAGTCGTTACATGGTACAAAGATAGGGACTAAAAAAATGATAAAATTGATAAAAAGTAACATATTTTATTTACGTACATCATATGCTCCCGATTTGATTTGACTGTACAATCGATTTTGATCTTCATCCCAGAATGGTGGATATCCAACAAGAAGGATGTAAAGAATAACGCCTGGAGATGGGAAAAACATTACGAATTGAAGAGGTTATTCTTTAAATGAGATATGCATTAATAATTCCTTTTTTAACTAATAGAAACAAGGTAATTGGGAAAAAGGAACAGTTGCGGTCATATATATATTCAGTGATTTGTTTGTTAAAATATAAAATTGACTCGGAAGGAATAATAAAAATACATATTTGGTTCGGAAGGATTTTCCAGGGTAAGCAATTTCAATGAAAATGATTTTACAATCATAATTTGTGGGTAAGTGATTTTATTTGCGAGTGTTACATTAGTCTTCAATAAAATAGAGAAATCAGCATTTCACTAGAAACTAAAAGTCAAAATAAGACTGATGGCTCAATAGAAGTAAAATGCGAGATAACAGGATTTTTTAAGTAACACTATATACTACAGCTGTTTTATGAATTGGCAGAACTATTTTCATGCAAGAAAATACAAAGACGCCTACCAACCGAATGGCGGACTCAGAATTTACAAGAATTCAGTTGTTTATATCTTGAGTTTATTTACCACCACCCCTAAAACGTGCAAATGGTCGCATGAAAATCATTATGTTAATAATAAGCGATATGAGATAGGACAGGAAGTCAGAAATGCTGTGCCGGAACAACGCTAAATGCAAGCTATTCCTTAAATAACTGTAAAAATAGGTTACACGTCTTGATACAATGATATAAATCGGTTAGAAAATAGATTTATTATTCTTATTGTGAATCCTTCAACAAAGCTAGGGAACCAATTACGCACGAGATAACCAAATACGTTTACAAGAATATACAAGATAACTGAATAATTAGTTCGTACACATATATCTGACTACAAGAAATAATTCGGCGACAGGATTTTAAGTTACAGAAGATTCTACTAGTCAAACAGGCCTATGGTGTAGTTTAGAAGTGCAGTTTGGAATACTTCACAACTGATATACGATTTGAAACTGTTCAGGAGATAATAACGAAACATCAAAATCTAAAATTTGTTAACATCTCCAAACGTTCTTGGGAAAACATGAAATTTCTATTACACGTTGAAAAGAGAAATTGAAAGCTGTATATTGTGTGATGAGATTACTGTGTAGTGAGTACTCAAAAAAGCAAGTGATGAATACCAGAAATAGAAAATATATCAAAAACCATAATAACTTACCACAAGCCCAGACGTCTACCGCCTTACCATATGGTTCTTTACGCAACACCTCTGGAGAAAGATAACCAGGTGTGCCGGCAAAACCTATAATACGGAAAACGAATATTTTACCAAATATTTTAATTAATAAGACAGAAAAATATGCGTGGTGTTTGCTTTTAAAGCGTCGAAAACACTTTACATAGGTCTATTATGTATTTTCTTCATCAACACCTCATTCAGTTAATTAATGATAAATATGGGTGAAGAATATCGACATTTCTCAAAATGAAGCTGATAATTTATTACAGAAATAGTCGGAAATATTCTAGAAAAAAGTAAAATAGCAAGAAGGGATGGGGCATGGATTGGATAGAAGTTATGAACAAGAATTAAGTGATGAATCATTTTCTTCTAATCCAGCAAAAGTACTGTGAAGATTTTGATTGTCCCAATCCTGGTGTTCCCAGAACAATGTTTTTTAGTTGACGGTAAGTCTTTTTGCTTTCGTAAATGAGTCTGACCTTTATGTTGTTAAATGGTTAATTTCTCCAGGATTACTGTAGTTCGACAAGTATATATTTTTTTAATATGACAAAACAGATGGTAGATTGTTATCTTGGTTTAAAACTAATAAACAAAGTGTGATAACATTCTAAAAAATAATAAAATCATAGTATTAAGAAATGCTGATTAACGTTAGCATACAAAACACTAAATAATAGTAAATGTGGCATAAGATTTTTTTTGTATTAAGTTTTTAACGGATTAGATAAACTTTATGATGGCGTTAACAGTTGTAGTGACCATGTCTGCTTTGCTTCATGAGTGATTTTGTCAGGGGAAGATATTGCCATTCATTTGGAAAGCAGATAAACATAGTTTTCTAAAAAATAATTATCATAACACTTTTCAAATTAAGATGGCAAGAGAAAAACCGAATAAGATGCTGTAAGCTGAAACACTGAATAAATTTTAATCCAACTACGTATGCATACCTAAATCTTAGTTAACGACTTGGTAATATGGTTTGGCTATGAAAACTGATTTAGGTGCAGGGAAGTTCGAACCTACAACTCATTCGTTGAGAGTCAGATGTTTCGACTTCTGGACAATCACATTCAAATAGATAAGGTGAGAAAACACTTAGTTGCGACTAATGTAGTAGCCGTACATAAAATTTAAATGCACTTTTTTACTTTCTATTTCATATCTGCATGTTTTCAAGCATAGATCATTGCTCGCATACTGTTTCTAATAAACACTGGAATTATGTTTTTTACGTCATACGTATGTGTATTAATTTATATGCACTAAGTCGTTGGTCTATTACTTTCTCTCTCTCTCTCTTGCCATGTTCTCGCGATAACCGAAATCGCTTTTGTAACGTTACTTATCAACGTTTCCGTTCACACATTGCTGACGAAAGCTTTCTCGCAAATTGAGTGATAATTATATCAACAGTTTGATGTTACACATCAGACTAGGTGAGTTCCTGAATGTAAGGTATGTTCACCAGGTCATGTAAGGTAAAGATGGAAAAGAATTATGTAAATACACAACCATATTTTACACCAGTTAATAAAAGTGAATGATGACTAGTTGTATATCTGCACCAAATATACCTGAGAAGTATGTAAAAGTAACTTTCAAAAACGTTTTCCGACTGGTCCACGAATACAACTCCACCTAGGGAAACAATTGTGCCCTTACTTCGGGAAACACCAGAATATTATGGGACTTTTAGCCATAGTTATGATTTAGAAATGCAAATGGTAACGAATTGGTTGGCACACGAATAGTCCAAAAAAGAAAGTAGGCGTGATGTTTTCTGGATTTGACTCAACCTGAGCAGTAGTACGATAGAGATCAGAAGCCTGAATTCAACAAGCATAAAACACATGAAATCATTTATTGTACCTAAGAACTACGATTTTGGATATTACAGTATACTGTAAATGACAGTAGTACTATTTATCTATGACTCTTAAATATTTCACTAATTCTTTAATCTTGGTATGTTACTGAGGTGTTTTTCCCAGGTATATTCTTCCAAGTGACTAGTCAGATTTCCTGATTTCTTTATGAATACTTTTCCACATTCATCATTATTTGTACAGTCACACTGAATGGTTATTTGATTTATAAGTTGCCCAGGGTGATTGAATGAAAAGCTTTTCTGATTGATTTTAATTCGTACTTTAAGAAAAAACTTTTTAAAACATTTTTAGTTTCTCATATAAAAATGAAAGGAAAAGAATCGAATTTGGAAGCGACAATTGAGGACCAAACCATATGTGCGACATAAAATGGGGTAATTGATTACTTTTATTCAAATTCTTCGCATGAAAAGTTTTTATGGGTGTGAATCGTGTGTTAGTGTAGTGTCGTTGAAATGTAGCTACAGTATATATTTATTCGAAAGAAAAGTTGCCACCGAAGATAATTTCTGATAAAGATGTTACACGCCTCTCTAAAAAACACAAATGAGTCTGTTAATTTGTTGAATTTCCTTGCACTTCAGCAACAAAATTTGCATATATGATACTGTAACAAAAACAGCTGTATAGTTGAGTTCCACTAGAACCGTCCACTGATTTTGCTACGAGTTTCATAAACATCCGTAAAAATCCACCTTTTGAGAGTTGTTGATCCTTTAATTTTCATAAGTTTATCTAAAACATCGATTAACTAATATCCTCAGTTAGTATGTAGAGGGATTAGACAATAAACGGTGTATAGAGGATACTTACACTCATTTATTAGGGAATTCTTGAAAACGTTTGTATCATCAATGGGGATCCATTGGCTTTTCGAATGGATAACCCACTAGTCAACCAGATATTCCTGAGTGTATACAAAAATGCTTAGTATTTGACTAATTAAAGCATATATTTAAAAGAAAAGAATAGATAATTAACAGTTATGGAGTAAAAATTCCAACTAGATATGAAAGTAAGAAGGTAGGGTTCAGTGATCATAGTCGAACCAAAAGCAAAGGTCAACTCGACCAGTGAATTATTAAGATTTATCAAATATACTTTTCAATAACGACCTATCGTCTATAACGCATAGAGACGGATTTAGAAAAAGGTAAAAAGAAACAATTCCTCGACACAACAAATAAAAAAGTTACTTTGAGGTAGATCCATTGTTATTTTCAAGTTTATCATATGATTTACAACATTACAAAATACGAAATTTTAGAAATCAAATAAGGCTAAGGTGAAAATTTATTTGTCTATCTTATGGCAAAAAGTTAACTTTGTGATGTAAAATACATAAATGAAAGCAAGAAAAATACTTAGCATACTAAACAGAAACGACAAACGAACTCTTTGTTAGTTTATTGTGAGGTATAGATAAAAGTAATCATAATACTATCTACAGCACCAATATGTCCCCATCCACTTAAAAAATGAAATAAGTACCGTTTATTCAGTCACTTGAGTTAAATAATCAGTTCTCTTACTAAACGTTATTTCTAAAAATCTGCACTGAAAAAGTATGGCTGCGATTTTAATACTGTAAATGTATTTGCGTAAACTGAAGGAAAAATGTCTTCTTGTAATGAAATACATAAGCATAGCGATTCAAAAATTTAACAAATGTATGTGCTTAAGAGAAACGTACCAAACCAAGCTGGTTGATCACCCTGAACTTCTATCGCCAGACCGAAATCCGCTAGTTTCACTGCAGCCCCTTTGGATTTACTAGCAAGTAACAAATTTTCTGGCTGTAAAACAAATTCAATTTTATGAAAAACCCACATGTGTTTGTTAAGTACAGGACAGCTGAAAGAATAATTAACAACGATTTATTGCTATCAGTTGCAACAAATCTCGTAAACGTTTTTAATGGAATCCGTTGATATTGTTACATACGTGCGAAAATGTCTTTCTCCTAGAAAAAAGTAAACTTGGTTATAAAGCAAGGTGTTTTGAAGGCTTGTGAAATGGTATCGTGAATAGTTTAGTGCACAAAAACGAGTTTCATTTTACTAATTCCAAGATTAACACTAGTCATTTTATGACACATATGATTACTTTCACATCATTTACAATCAGAGTCCATTAGAATGTTCTAACGACATGGACAACAGTCAAACCACCTCATGTTCTCTTATCTTCATTCCACTTAATGCTGTTGTCCTTGTATTGGTTAGTTTATTATTTGAGTCATTTAAACTCAAGAGCACTAACCATATACACAATAATTGCCCACGTATAAATCATTTTGTGTACCTAGTAAGTCTCGTAAATATAGGCATATAAATTAGAGGATGATAATAATGACATCATAATTTGTTAGGATTGTGACATGTGAGGGAGGGATATCAGGTAAAGGTCTCGTCGCACTCATGGAATAAAGAATGAATGATTACGAAATAATGTAAACGAAACTGAAAATCCGGAGAGACTATAATTTATGGACGAACCAATCAGATGCAAGATAACAGGTCTTGGATTTTGGCGCCAAATCCATTTGGCTAAATAGCGTTTTGACATTCTAGCTTATGTCAGTTCGTGATGAAAATCCTAAATCTAATTCCTAACCCTAACTATCAACTGCAAATCATAATCCTAATTTCTCACGCTGCTTTATAATCCTCATTTAGTACTAGTTAGTAGGTGAATATCCACAAGATCACTTTAGCGTCATTTAAAAGTCGTTCATAAAATATAGTCCTACCGAAAACCCCTTGAAGTATACTTGGGATTTCGAATAAGCAATGGTTGAGTTTATCCACCAAGTATGAATTCATCTACTACTCAGAATATAGAACAAAATGTAATGACAACTTTATCTGCTGTCATCCGGAGAATAAAAGATTAACGAAACAGGTCTTTTAGAGACTTTTGGACTATATATATTTTGTCAGGACGGGGTAGCGAAATTGTGGCCGAATAGTGTTATGCATTAGGAAAATATTCATCATAAGATTTCGCATAAAACATGATAAAACGTGATTGTAATTATTTAAGATAAAAATTATACCAAAACAATAGGTAAAGAAATACCACCATAAAATAACACACTAAAACTTTTAATGGGCAATTTCGAGATGAAGTAGAAGAAATTTATTGAGTCAAACGGATGGGAGGTTTTAAAGAATATCGGTGTTCATAACACGTAAAATAAGATTCAAAACGTAAGTAAATGTGAAACATGTGTGACATGATAACGAGTGGTGAGTACGATGATACACTGTGAAAACGCTACTACTAACCTTTAAATCTCGATGTACAATATTATTCTGATGACAGTAATTCACACTTTCAATAATTTGCTGCATACAGTTACTGGAGAAAAAAAGAGAAAGCGAGTACTGGTTATTCGCAAGATTTAAAATCATAGTAACAAAGTCAGCAGAAGCTAGATGAAATTTATAAACTATGGCCTTATGATCGAGTGAGCATATAAATCAAGGACATTTGAACCAAGCTAGTAAACAAACAGTAATAGTATGAGTAAGAAAAACATATACAAAAAGATACCTCCGAATTCACTACGTATTCATCTCAGTAAACACTAAAGAAACTAACCTAGCATCCGCTTCACTGTAGAATTCCCGAGCAACAATGTCCTCGAAGAGTTCACCACCAGTAACTCTAAAAAGGATTGAGTTTAATATAATTATATGATGAGAACAACACATAGTTTAGAATATTAATAGGGTTATCATCATAGAGTGTAAAGTTAACTTAGTAGTACCAGCAGTCAACCCCTAGGTCGTGGGTTCGAGCCTCGTCCCACCTACACCAGTTCGGGCAATCGGATGAGGTCGCTGGCTTTCTCACACACACGAACAGAAAACTCAAAGCCTAGTAGACGAAAATGTACTTGACTATTGAACTGCAGCGACAAAAAAATATATGAAAGGAATAAAATTCATCCGATTTCAAACAGTAAGTTTTTATCAGATGGGGTTTTGTGGAGATTTTAGTAATTTTATAGAGTTGAAATCATGAGTCAATTGAGTCAATTACTAAAATCTCCACAAAACCCCTTCTGATAGTGATCATGTGCTAACTAGTGACTGACTCCATGGGGTATTTCCTGGAGTTCTAGTGAGAAGCAGTAACCGGTGGAGTTCAACCAGGTCTGTTGTGAGATAGTAACTCACTGATGACATTGGTGAATGGTTGCTCAATTTCGTGGATCAGTTGAAGCTAGACATTCACACCGTTGGATGCCGGCTCAGTGGTCTATCGGTTAAGGGCTCTGGCTCGAGACTGGTAGGTCCTGGGTTCGAATCTCGCGAGTGCGCACTGCTGAAGAGTCCCATAATAGGACGAAACGGCTGTCTAGCGCTTCCAGGTTTTCCATGGTGGTCTAGCTTCAATTGACTCATGATCTCAACTCAGTAAGTTTTTAACTTTGAAATAGTTTAAAATTCAAGAATTCACTGCATCAGCTTACTCAGTAAATAAACTATATACGGAACACAGGTTTGAAATATGAGTGTGGAAGTAGGAGGTTAAAGTGTTTATGATAATGATATATTGAAAAATCAAGTGGCCAAGGTGGAATGAAAACATATCTGCTAGAATCGGTACACAAAAGTTGTGATAGATGAGAGCATAAGATGCACATTGGCACTCGGAAATAATTAGTAAATGCACTTTTTTATTTTTAATTAACAACTCTTATCCATACTGTGAAATTATCCCTGAGACGGCAAATATATGGAGCCCATACTTTAGATATCTTTGTAATTCCATTGCTCTGTCAGCTTTAGTTTATACAAAAAGGAATACTGACAAGTCTGGGTACTTTGAATGCGTCTACCGTTTATCTTTATATGCGAAGTAAGAGTGATTATTGTACGAGTTTAACTGAGCGTTTCATGTGGACAACAAGTCTGGCGTTAGTCCGTTAACGAGGCACAAATGCCACAAACAACAATCATTATATAAACACAAGATCCCTAATTTTTCACTTTTTCCATTATGACATCGGGAAACTTCAACTACGAGTTAGCTGTTAGGAATGAACACAGTGCATTGACTTTATGATCATCACTGATTGTAAGCTAACTCAGCGGATATTCTGTATACATACTTGCACTACATCTGGAATAATAACATGCAACACGTTGAGTGTGATGTTAACAGTAGTGGTTTATTTGTTACCATAAGATTATTCCGTCAGTCAGTCAGCTACAACGTAGGACCAGGCACATATATGCATCGGTCCAAGTTGCCATACCTCGTTAGCACAACAAGATGAACACTGGATTCATAGAAGTAATTAATTTAGTGGTGGTAGTAGTATATAAATTATAGGTTGTATATAAGGATATAGTACAGGACAGGAGATATGAAGCAATTTTAGTATCAAGGTTTAAGGGAAGATAAAGAGTGTATACACCTACGCCATTGCGATCGATTCTGAGCCATGTCACCTAGAGTCTCCAACCATTGGTTACGATTATTACCGGTTTCCTTTGTGAGGAGATACAGCAAATATTAGTTACTTCCCGGAAGCTATTTCAATCAACTAGCCGAAAAAGTTGGGTCCATGATCACTCGTGACTCCAAACTTACTCTGTAATCCTTATTGCGTAATGAACTTGGGGAGGGGGCAGTTGTTTACTGTTAACTGAATGGAAAGTATTGTCAATATGAATCGGATTATCACTGATTAAATGTTTGTGGGGTTTGTCATGCTAAAGAACGTCAAGCTGCAAATTTCGAAAACTCCAGTAAAGGAACTAAAACAGCTAGATAATTCATGGGCAACTCTTTTAGTAAACACAAAAGTCATTCTTCCATACCTTCACGTTATATGTCAAGGTAGAAAAAATTAGAAGCATGTTTTCTTGAGGTATATATATATATATATGAAAACAAAAATCACTTGTTTTTCGGATCATAGTTAATACTAGTAACCAATTTGAAGACACAAAACTTACAAATCAAATACGAGATAGTGAAACCCTTCGTCCTGAATGTCATCGTATAGGCGAACTAAAAATGAAGAACGATTATAAAATACCAACCAAAGAAATAAATAGGAAGTATATGCACATGCATGATAAGTAGGTTTGTGGCTTTGTGGTAAAACGACTTTTATCCCTTGACATTGAGTGTTTTAAACTACAAATGCTAATAATGAAGTCACGTAATGTACTCGTCATTCGGTAATTTAGAAGTGATAGAGTCCGACATGCTATTCCATCCAATCGAGAATGATGGTTACTTGTTTCCAATAGCCTCTCTTTCTTGTATAATGCTGACATTATTCACAGATTGACCAAATACGTAGTCGGGTGAACTGACTATTCGCTAGTAGTTCTGAGGAGTCAGTGACTAACAAGTCTCCCTAAGGGTTAAAACTACTCGGTTGAGTTTCTTTGATTGAATCAACGGATAATGGTGCGATATATGGGTGTATACAAAAAGGGGAAACCTGGCACTTGGTAGTCCCCCTTAAGGCTATTAAATGGTTATTGAAAATAAACGACATCCTAAAAGTATTTTTGAGGCATGTTTTTATGTGTGGCGGGACTATAAGGTAAATGATGTTGATGCTAGGTGTAGAGTTCTGCACAAGTGAAGTAGGTCAAGTGATAAAGCTGTAAATCTTCATCGACTAGGACGTGTGAAGAAGACCTACTCAGGACCTACCTTAACCAAGTCGACTAGACGGTATATTGGAAAAGGTTAAGGTGACCAACTCAAAACATGAAATTAGACCATAGATATTATTCTCCTAAGCCTGAGGTCTACAAGTGGACGTAGCTTTTTGTCATAGTTCAAGAAACGTACGTTACAGGTGACTCGAAACTAGGTGGTACGATCTGAAGTTGATTCAGGTGGTAAGAGGAAACTTACAACATATCTCCCTTTTCGTCTTAAACCTTCGTCTTTTATGTACTTTACCTTTTTTGTTTTATTTTAATACCGTTGTTAGTACGCTTATTTCCATACCTTGACTCCACCTGTTGAACTTTTTTGGATTGCTAGTGTGAATGGTGATAACACGTTTGGATCAACAAGTTTGTAAGCCACTGAACTATTTAGTAACTAGTTAACTAAGACCACTTAAACTCTCAGGAGCTACAACATGGAGTGCTGACTAGAAAATTCTTAGCGAGTAATGATTATTTGACGTATTATAAAGAGGGGGACAGGCTGAATAATAAAGCCCTAACGAACAGTTAACATGAAAATCCGTTTGTTTTTAGCCTCCTAAAGAAATGCCTGTCTGCGGTTGAGGTTTTTCTAAACTGCACTTAAAATAAGTTATCGATAGAATAATTTACGTGATAATATGAAACGCTTCGGATAGATTAACTACTGTAGCTAGATTATAATTTTAATCCTGTTTCATTTCGACAACTAGTAAGGTGATTGGCCATGTTTAGGAAAGCACGACGATCGTGAGCAGCGTTATTGTCTTTTCGTACTGAGTTCAAAAGCAAACTAGTATACAAAGCTAGATTTTGCCACCATTGAGAATAGGCAGCGATATTTTTAAAGGCAGTACCAGTACAGAAGTTAGTATTTTGATGTCAGAAGTTATGGAGTTTGGAAAGTTTTAGTGATAGTGACGCTTCTGTACTTCGTACTCCATTGATATTAATGAATCACAGATCCCTAACTTACACAAACATAGTGGAAAATCATCATAACTACAATGTTAGGAAGCAATTACGAATCTGAGATATTGGAAGAGAACTTGGTCAGTTAATTAGCATTTAATCGTTTAAAGGACACAGAAATAAAAGCAGAAGCAGAACTCAAGACTTCTCATTTCAAAAATTGTTTGCATACTTAAACACTCAAATGACGGATAGAAGTACTGGATTTTTCTAAGGAATACGTTCGAACTAGTATAACAAACTGCAAAAAATATAAGACTCGAAGACGTCGAGTGAGACGACCGGTTTTGATAGAACCCTATAAAACTACTATCATTTATTTATTCAAACACGAATATTGGTACAAGGGGGTACCAGATATATATACGCCACACGACAACCATTACTTCTTACTGTTAGAGAACATGCAAACACGCTTATTCTAGGTGACAAGTTCGAGGAGGCAACATAGCTTTTAAGCAAAAGATAGGTGAAACTTACCTATGTTAGGGTGCTTCAGAAGCCTGCATATTCTGGCCTCGCGTTCCAACTTCTGCATGTCTGCAAACAAGATGTTACTGTAAGTTATTTTTGTTTGTTAAAATAAGTATGAATGATGTTTATGAAGTAGATACAATTTGTTGGGATTAGGTACACAAATATTATGCTTGCAACACACCAAGCCACTTGGATGAGTGTTTTGAGTCATTGGTTAAAAAAACCAGGTCAAAAGCGTGTGATCTTAAATCCCATTATTAAAATCATCGTCAACATAAATTTAAGCAAAAATATGACAATCATGTGAGATGGAGCACTTAATAAACAGGCTGTTATTTTGGTAGTCGCTAAAACAAAAATAATGATATTCAAAGAAATTAACGTAGCACAGACAGGATGACTTACATATTTTAAGCGGTTTACTGTCTAACAACCTAAACTAAGATCAGTTATCCATACCAGACACTGAAGCCAATGTAAAAAGTTGCGTCATAACTTAGATCACAAGTTCTTAAATTTACCAGAAATTCCTCAATTACTGATTTATATTTTTCGAATAGTATCTTAGACGCCTAGATTTTTTATTTCCACGAACTGTCATTACCCTTGCCATTCTGGGAATTCGCCGACTATTTCATCTCACTATGCTAACCGGGTATGATAAATCGAAATAATGTGCTTATGTGCCTGGTTTTACGCTGCGTCCGATCTAATAATTGGTAGTACTTGGAGTCTTACTATGACGATAGGTTGGTGCAACATAAGCAAAGCCGAATACCACATAGCAAGGACAGGCGAGACGTGAAGTAGTTGTCAGTCAGGTTAAGAGCTGGAGGGGGTTTACTAAGAATACAAGTTCTAGGCATTCATTGTGAATAATTTGTATACCTAAGCGCGCTGAGAATTCGATCATAGTTGATATTATGAATGGGGAAACTAAAGGGCAGAGGAGATTCAAGCATTTGATTTAGAAATATGTGAGCACCATCGCATGCACCCCTAAACTGAGTATTTTCCATGTCATTAAGGTAATCACTACACTAATCACCGGATATAAACCATGGGATGAGTAAGTCCTGAGGAAATAAAGGACCAACAAGTTTAATAACTCATGAAAAGCCCAGAGAAACCAATAAAGAACCCAACAATTAAAAACCTACCTCTGGTTGACAGGCGTTTCGTATTTATGATCTTAGCGGCAAATTCTAGACCTGTTGAGAGCTGAATGCATTTTCGAACTATTGAGAATGCTCCACTGAGAATACAGGAAAACTTATGATTATGATGTAATCAACAGACATCAAGTGACATAAATTAACTAAGTTTACTTCGAGACTTACCGCCCTACTTCTTCTTTCAAACTATACAAATCAGAAAACTTTGGAAGAACAGTAGCCATCTTCAGAGAACTAACCAAAAACGCCTCCCAAACGCCGTCCAAACAAACAAAATCCAAAACCGAACATGCGGTTCCAATGTTATGTATCAATTACTTTTACTTCATTGTGATACTAAGGGGTTCACAATGGAAGCAGGAACACTTCTGTTCTTATGCATCACCGACGACTTAAGAGTACGTGGGAAGAATTAATGGGCATTGCATGGGTTGGCCATGAACGAGGGTTCAGTCCTTGTAACTTATTCCTTTGTATATAATGTGTATCATTATATCAACGGCTAAAATGTGTTCTTCAAAATTTTAACAGCATAATAATGTCTTTCGCGTTCGGACGAGGTAAGTTAGACAATGATGTGTCTTTCACGTAAGATTTTATTGATTTAGTTATGACCCTATGGAAAATATACGATTTCAGAACAGCTTTATTATTCTAGTGGGAAAATAAACGCTTTTAACACTGATCTGGACAATAGTCCTACAGTGTCCTCGCGCTGTTATTAAGAATAGATTTTGTGTCAATGGTGCTTAGCCAACAGCTGCACTAGGTGTTTAAAACATACTCTACACAGTTTTCCCAGATGTGTTTCACGAAACAAGAGCAAATCTTATAGTTTTAAACTTCATTTCATTGGAGATTATATTGTATAATTGCTTTTTCATCTGATCATGTAGTAATTTGCATATCTGATTGATCGAAAATCGAACACTATGACTATCGGTTGTAGGGTACTGTTTATCTGTATTACATATCACGTTATCTGTGGCTTAGTATTCCATGATGTTCGGTTTAAAATTAGTACTACTATCTTTGTACATACAAAGAATCAAACGTTGTGGGTAGTGTAAGACGTTTTGCGATTTCCCATAAGAGTAGTTGAATAATAATAATATAATCTATTATATTTCTGCAAGGGCAGGTATACTCCATTTTAACAGGCATGATCTACTAGTTTCAACATTTATTGGTTCATATTATGCATTCCAAGCAGAGTTGTTTAGTAAATATAATCTATAAAAGTGAATATCAATTCATTCGTTCAGATATACTGTGTAAACTTCGAAATATTTTCCAAAGGGGCATCACGTCTACGTTACACACCAGATCCAATCTCGGCGAAATTGTGTTAAAATTTCGGTCTTGCTAAGTATTTATGCAATGCATCTTTTTAAGTTTATAGTTGTTATAAAGTAGATTTGTAGAGCGCTTGGTGTGAATTATGACATTGGGAAAGCTCGTACGTCGAGTTTGTCCCAGATGCCGGAAGTTCCTCAACTTTTCCCTCAGAGCAAGATTTTGAAGAAAAAAACAGAAACCGAGTAGCAACAAGGCATTTGGATATGAACGATAGACAATGTTTAGCATTTAGTAGTGGAACAGATAGGTATGATTAATTATTAGATTAGATTCAAACTGGCTCTTGTTGATAGAATGAAATATGATTGGGGGCTCCAGATGAGGGAATGCAGTAATAAAGAACAATGGGATGTGATATTTATTGGGGTGGATTAGGTTCAAATTAAGAGAAGTCAAGGTCGGAATAAGGAAGACTGTTTATCAGAACAGAAAGTGAATATAGAGAGAGTGGAGTGTTAAGAAAACTAACAACTATATTCCTTATTGTCTGTTTTTTTTTATTCATCCAATGCCTGCCACACAGTTTCGATATAAAAGTCTGAGTTAGCATGTTATAGGTTGTCATAATAGAATAGATAATCCAGCATAAAATTAGAAACATGAGTCTGAATGGTGAATGTAGGGGAACAACTTCAATATCACAGATTAATTGGCTTGTTCTCAAACATAAGGAGCCTGATATAAATAAAATGTCCTGCTCCATGGATGGATTGAAGTCATCACCCTCACCATCAATACTTGCTGGTCAGTGACTACACCCTCCCTCCTTTTGTGATGTTAGGCTCATTTAAGCTTATTTTTGGATGTATACTTACCTCATACAGTGCTCTGTGTTCAAATCCTGTTGGAAAACATTATTTCTATAAGTAGTATTTCACAAGCTTATCAGACAGTTACAAATTATGGACTGTGGGTAAGGCATCGATGAAATGTCTTAATTGACTATATTATGAAGCATAGGTTGCCAGTCAGAGCATAGGCAGGTATAATGAGGATAGTTTCTTACCAAAGTGGGCGGAAAAGTGTAGAAATATATTAGTTACAGATAAGGTAAGGTAACGAGTGTTGAAATAATATTAATGTCAAGGCAACATAGTGTACAGAAGAGTAAAAAGCTGATAAACAATAGATAAGAAGGAAAGCGAAGTCAAGCGAAGAAGCCTTAGCAAATGACTGACTTATAATGGTGTCAATTGAACTGGGAGTGTTAGGAGCTCGATATGTACATTCCATTAGTATTTTACATTCATGAGTGTGTACAGTAAGCCATATCGAGTCTGGTAGTTTGCTGAGGATATGGTCACTATGAATTTCCGCCCTCATATTTTTTGGTGCATGTACGAGACAACCGCTACTATTCTTAGTGACTCGATCACAGTGGAAGAGCTCGCACGTGTCTATTTTGAGGAATGAGTCTGTGATATCAGAGAGCAAACAACTTTCTGTTTGTCAAAACAAGTGAAGGGTTGTTTAAAAGTAATAGGGTGCGTGAGTCATCTTATTTTGTATAGATTGAGCACTGATTAACATAAGTGTCAGCTACGGTGAGTGTTTGTCTAGTAGAAGGGTGTGATTCAAAGTCAGTGGATTGTCAGTTTTACCATAAGAAGTCGGAGTACTGGCTCCAAATTCGTGTTCATTCGGTTTATTACCAATATGGTTAGTGGGAGAAATGTAGTCGGAGAGTATTTTGACGAAAGAAGTATGTTTAGGAATGATGGGTAGAATTGAATGAGTTGAATGGATAGGTGGTGTATTTGAGGAGTGATCAGGTTCCGTCAAGGAGCTTTTAATCGTAGAGACAGCTATCGGTGGTGAGGAAGATTTGTCAATCTCTATCAGGTTGGAGAATATAGAAGGCGGTCTCAGAAGAGTGAGAATGTCGCCCTCAACATTTGGAGACCCCAAAAAGTTTATTCTCGTATATGAAAAGGCGAATTCAGAGAAGCGATGGAATCCCATCACTTTTGGTACAGGAAAATCTGTTAATATTGGCAAGAAATGACACCAAAAATGCTGAAGCTTTATCGGAATATTTTAGTAAGGTATTTTCTAGCAGTAATGAGAAACGACCGACTAATAATTGAGATGGTGGCGGCTTGCTGATGGACCTGGTAGTTATCGAGAAAGGCACTGTCTTAATACAGTTTCAGAATCCCAAACCTGATAAGTCTAGAGGTCTCGATGATATACATTTTAGGATTATGAAAACACTATCGGATGTAATTGCTGAACATATAGCCATACTGTTTTTATATGTCTTTGCGGCAGTCCTGACTGCCAAGAGACTAGAAAGATGCAATAATTGGTCCGGTGTATAAGTCTGGGAGCAGAGACTTAGTTAGTAACTATCGGCTTGCTAGCTCAATTATTGAAAATGTAAAACCGACAGAAAAATTTATTCTTATGGGTGTTGCAAACCATGTGGAAAAACATGATCTTTTATCCACGAAATAACAAGGCCTGTCCTGTTTGACAAAACTTCTCATTGCAAGAGAAGATTAGGCTGAGGCAAAAGATCGCGATATTCCTGTAGATGTGATTTTCATGGATCTAAGTAAAACCTTTGATAAGGTCTATCATTCTGGTTTTAAGTAAAAACTCGAAACTTTTGGAGTTCATCATAAGGTCATAGACTGGATAAATGACTTTCTCCATGACAGGAGACAAAGGGTAAGAGTGAATGGAGAACCTGTAAAAAGTGGAGTTTCCCAAGGCACAATCCTCGGTCATCTTCTCTTCTTACTTTATGCAAATAAATTACCAACTGTAACTAAGTCATCCGTCCTACTCTTCGCCGATGACATAAAGATTTGGAGACCCATATACAGCATGTCAGACAGAATAGTATTACAGGATGATCTCAACTCATTAGTGGCATGGATGGACGGGTGGTCACTGGAAGTGAATTCTAACAAGAGTGTAGTGATACAACTGAATGACTACGATGATTCGTATTAGTACACAACATGTGGATTTGTGTTACCCAAAATACGAAACTATAAAGATTTAGGAGTCATACTAAGCAATGGTCTAAAAACAACCAGCCACTGTAAGGTCGCTGATACAAAAGGCTATAGGGTATTATGGTCTATTCGTAGATCTTTCCAGTATTTGGATGAGCAAATGTTTAGATTATCATGATTGACTCTCGTACGATCACACTTGGAATATGGGATTCAAGCAGCGAGTCCTTGTTTCAAATATGAGGTGGACATGCTGGAGCGAGTCCAACGCAGAGGGAATAAAATGGTAAAAGGTCTATCTGGCCTATCTTATGAAGACAGACTGAAACACCCCAACTTAATTCCGTTGTGTTACCGTAGAACACGGGGTGATCTAATACCGGCATATCGTATCCTAAACGACGACCTTGGTACTAAGATGTCTTATCTTTTCCTTTCATCTAGGGCTAATCGTTTGAGAGGACATTCGAAGAAAGTCAAAGAACTGAGATAAAATCGTCTACATCTGGAGTTTCATTTCTCGCACAGAGTGGTGAATTACTGCAATTCTCTACCAGAACACATAATATCAGCACCTTCTGTTGATATGTTCAAAAGGAGATTGGACCTCCACTGTGTAACAAACTGCAAGGATTAAAATATTTCAATAGACCTTCTATCCTTATTACTGAAGAATGACATATACTATTATTACTATTTGTACTTCATCACTCTGTTATCATTCTTGAGTTGATATATTGTCTGTTCCACCACAGATTTGTTTTGTGTATTGGGTCAACCGCACTGTCTGAATACTGCTCACAACATGTGATGGGTGGTCTGCAAATGGTGTCGACTGAGACGGTATGTGACTGCTCTTATCTATATCTACAAGCGAGATGTAAAGTATTGAAATATCATGCCCAAGTACGTGGTGCACATCTAGTGTAGCTGTAGAAACATCAGAGTATGATGCAGACTGATCAATGTTTTTATAAAGCTTCAC